AACTCATGCCCAGTTAATTTTTTAAGGCAAAATCAACAGACTGAGCAATGATTAGCAGGCAGCTAAGTTGGTCTTAATCAAGCTGAGGACAGGAGGGAGGAAGGAGGCTGATGGAGGCCCCAGGGATGGGGCCCGGTTATCAGTTAACCACATGAATGTTGTTTCCTTCCAAAGCCACTGGCCTTCAGCCCCCTGCTCCCTCATCTTCCTCCCTGAAACACTTCCATGGCAGCCCAGGATCCATCAGTGGTTGAGTGAGCAGACACTACTGGCCACCATGGTCTGTAGAGGAGCTGTCACACAGCCACAGGGTCCCCCCGGGTGAACCAGGGCTCACCACCACGGCTTAGTGGCCCTGAGTGAGTTTCTTCACCCTCTGGGGCTCAGTCAAGCACCCACACCTAGGCTCCAGGTCTCCGGTCATGCCTGCAGCCGGCTGCCCTTTCGCCAAGGGCCTCGGTGTCCCCATCCTTCGAATGGGTGGGTCAGCCTTCTAGTCCCAAAGTCGCACGAGACTGTGACCCGACGGAGCCCTGGTGGCCTACGTGGGGACACAGAGGGAAATGTGAGCAGTGGTTGTAGGTTCCCAGAGGAGACTTACCTGTTCTGGGTTCCAATGAACGTCCAATCCTAGCTGCCTGCCCAGGGCTCTCAGACAAGAAGCAGGAATCCCTGTGGGGTGCGCTGCAGCTGTGTGGATGGCAGACCCCGGCTGGCTCAGGACCCTTGCTCCCTGTCTCCCTACACCCTTGGGAGTCCAGAGAGGCAGCCCCGCCAGGCCGGGTGGCTGCCAGGACTGGTGTTTGGTCACTGCTTGGGGACCTATATTGTGAGATAGTTAGGACTTTGTCCACAAACTGGAATTTGAAATTTCAAAGGGGCGAAGCTGAAGGGCCCTACCCCAGAGTGGAGATGGCGTTTGGCTTCTTTCCTCCACGACTTTTGTTCTCTGCCTTGATAAAGTCCTGCTTTACCCTGTGCCACACCCCAGGTGGCCGGTGGGGGAGGCAGGGTAGGAGATAGCAGCGGCCTGGGGAGCTCAGAGGGGAGGTCCTGGGGAGCTCAGAGGGGAGGTCGGGCGCCGGCAGCCAGGTGGCGGCCAGGTGTCTGAGGATGCTGCCAGGCCCCTGGTGCCCGAGGATAGGGCCTTTGAGTCTGGCCCGATGCTGGGACTCCCCAGCAGGGGTGAGACCCAGGTAGCGCCTGGCGCCAGCCGCAGTACTACCAAAGAGGGTAGGGTTAGCCCCATGCAGCAGGCCGAGCCCTTGGCCCTGCATGACCGTGGGCAAGTGGCTGCACCCCTCTAGGTGCCCTTAAGCCACCTGTGAAATGAGGGGGTTGAGAGCTCCTGCCTTCAAGCACATGGCAGTGAGGAGATGGGTGTCAGGTTCATCAGCCTCTGTGGCACTGTGAGAGGTAAGCGATGCTGCCCACGGCTGTGGCTGCCCAGCCGAAGCACCTGCTCCTTGCCTGTAGCCAGCTCTACAGCATCTGCTTCCCTGCAGCTGCCCACCCAGGCCCATCCTTGCCTGCCTTCTCCAGGTCTCCTCAGTGAGCTCTGATACCCTTCCTTTTCCTTTGCCAGCCTCTGCCCTCGGGGCTGGGGGCTGACAGCCCTGGAAAGTAAGGTCCACACTTAGGCATGGCTGGACCCAGGCGCTCTCCACAGCCAGGATCCTGATTCCCAAAGATGGTATGGTATGGTCAGTGGCTCAAGGAGCCACAATGATTGACAAGAATCCCCGCTGCTGTGGGATGTCCCTTGGTGTCCTCAGGGGGTTAGTTCCAAGGCCACCCCCAGGAGTACTAAAATCCAGGGTGCTTCATCCAGAACAGTCTGCTATTTCATGTTTGCATACATCCTGCACGCCTCCCAAGAACTTCAAATCACCTCCACGGGACTTGTGCTGCCTAACATGTGGTACTGCTATGGGTTAGGACCATTTTACAGTAGAAATGGAGGCTTGGAAACCTCCGGTCCCAGAGCCAGAAGGGTGGCTTCTAGAAGATTCTGTCTGGAGTGGGCTGAGTGGCAGGTATAACTGATCCTAGCGGATGAGCAGGTGGGCTCCCTGGAAGGGGCCTGTTGTAATGGGGTGGGCCGCGGCTGGAATATGCCCCACAGGCAGTCATGCGTGTTGTGCCTTTGCTCAGTCATGTATGTCGTGGTCCATGTACTCACCACGTGCAACCTGTCTGCCTAGTGGTTCTTATGTATAATCGGTCCTGGCCCTGGCATGGCTTGGCTGACCTGGCTTGGTCACAGACCTTATGTCACCTAAAGAAAAGTGCATTTAAAAGATACATTTCATTTATTTTTGACAGAGTGATGGGGACAGAGGAATCACTGTGCAAATGGCTGTGACAGCTGGGGCTAGGCCAAGCCAAAACCAGGAGACAGGAACTCTATCCAGGCCTCCCCCATGGGTAACAGGGACCCAAGCGCTTGAGCCATTCATCTGTTGCTTCCTTGGGTGTGTTAGCAGGGAGCTGGAGCTGTGTGGAGGAGCCAGGACTTGAACCGCCACTGTGACACAGATGCACGTGTGCCAAGGGGCAGCTGTAGTGCCCGTCCCTGCATTGTGATTTCTGCTACTAATTTCTTTCTTTTTTTTTTAAGCTTTTGTCAAAGATATATTTTTGGGGGGAAGATTTTCACATAGCCTTTGGTCATATTTCTATTGATGTTTATTTTTCTTATCATATGACATAATTTTAAAAAAAAAGATTTGTTTTATTTATTCTAAAGGCCAAGTTACAGAGAGTGGGGAGAGACATAGAGGAAGAGAGATCATCCGTCTTCTGGTTCATTCCCCATATGGCTGCAATAGCCATTCTGGGTTAGGCTAAATCCAGGAGCCCCAGGATCCATCCATGTCTCCCACGTGGGTGTCAGGGGCCCAAGCACTTGGGCCATCCTCTGCTGCTTTCCCAGGTACATTACCAGGGAGCTAGATTGGAAGTGGAGCGGCCGGGACTCAAACTGACTATGCTGTGGGATGCCAGCCTCCTTTGTTACCAGTCACGTTCTGCCAGGCTGACAGTCCCATTGTACTCAGCAGTGTGGCAGGTACCTCTCTGAGGAGACAACGGGTAAGACCCGTGCTGCTCGATCATGCAGGGAGCATCCAGGCATGTCTTGTTACAGAGCCTTGCTGGTGGCAGGGACTGAGGAGGCCCTCCCAAGGGCTATTGTGCATTTGTCTCGAGTACTTATTCCTTAGCCAGCTTATCTGCTCCTGGGCAGCTCAGTCCTGTCCCCAGGTCTCTCTAGACCACACCAGTTGTCTCCAGGATCACAAGAGGAAGCCTGCAGTCCCAGATGGAGCTCGCCTGTGGGCCTCAGTGACCTACAGTATGGGCTGGAGTCCCTAACCACTGGCCAGGATCATACTTGAGGTCCTGAAATGAGATGAGAGTTAAACCCATCCATTCCAGGAGCAACAGTTCATTCTAAGGCCAGTCTCCTGCTGCTGAATTCAGCCCCCTGCCTCCAGAACTATTGCTCTGCATCCTACTCACCTCCCCTTCCCATCACCAACTGTCTTCCCAGAGCCTCTGGCTCAGAGTGGGCTACGGGCAGGGCTTCTGTGGAGGGGTTCCCCTCACGCCCCTCAGACACACAACCCTCGCTCTTGGCCCCACCTTCATATATACACATTAATTCACTCTTTCACTAATCCACGCACTCTTTTCCTCAACTCACACGTGATTTCAGCCTGCCTCCATTCATTCCTGTCCCACCCACCTGCCCATTCACGAATGGTTTTTCCTGCAGAGTCGCCCATTCTTGCCCACGTCCCTCCCAACTTAGGGAGGTGTTCCCAGAGGGGACAGGCCCCCAGAAGCCCTGGCCTCCCCCTCTGTCTTCTATCCTGTCTGGTTGGAGTGGGAGCTCTTAGAAGTGATGGGGACAACCCCTAGCTGAATGGGCCAGATCCTGTCCTGAGCACAAACGTGAGGCCACTTGTCTCAGAAAGCATGGAGAATTTCATGTCACCAGCCAGCAGCATTAAGTCAGACGTGGGGATTCTCTGAGCACGAGGTCCTGGGCGACCACACAGGCAGCACCTCTCATGGGGAAGTGAGAAGACAGGTGCATAGAGGCCCAAGGGAGACAGAAGATAGGGCGTACAGCTGGGGTGGGTGGAGGCGGACATGAGGGCGTCTGCCGGCCACGACTCAGCGTCTACTCAGCAGCCGTTTTAGGGCAGTTGCCTGCTGCCCAGGGAAGGAAGGAAACGTCGCAGCAAGCAGGGGGCAGGCGCCTGAAGGCAAACTCAGGTCTGTGGGAGGGGCAAGCCTGCCTCTGCCTGCTTGGGGGGCCTGGGTGGGGGCTGGGGAGGCAGGACGAGGGACAGGGCGGAGCCATCAGAGGTCTGGATAGTAGGGAGCTGTGGGGACCAGTGGACGCCATGGTGGGACCTCAGAGATCAGGGGGAGGGGAGTGACAGGTGATCATTCCTAGCTCCATGCCAAGCTTCTGGCCCCTTCTGCCCCTGGAGAAGACAGGGAAGCGAGGCAGGGAGCTCCCGGAATGAAGGTCCGGAAGGTGGGCATGTGGGCCTGTGGAATCATGTGCCACTTTATCTGGGCAGATACCTTGAGAACAGAAGTCAGTGTGATTGGAGAAGGGCCTGAGTCGCGGCACGGCCAGACTTGGGGTGACAATGGCGGAGGAGGGTGGCCACACCAGCGCCCGCCATACAGGATTGATAGCTGACTATTGGCAAGTAGGGCCCCCACAGTTGTAATTAGCACCCGGGGTGTCAGTCAGAGAGCAGCAAGCAGCCAAATCCCTGCTGCCCCGCCCAGCTTGTGGGCCAGTGGGGGACGATTAACCATTAACCCCCACCCCTCCCCGCCAGAGCCTCCGCCCCACCAGAGGCTAGGCCTAGACTCCTGCAGATCCTCCCAGAGGACGGTTTGAAAGGCAGGGAGGCAGAGAGGGCCCCTGGGAGGAGGCCGTGGGAGGGCGGAGGGCGGGGGGCCGCCGGGGTGGGCATCCTGAGCAGGGCAGGCGGCCGAGTCGTGGAGGCTGCGGGAGAATGCGCCTCTCGAAAACCCTCGTCGACATGGACATGGCCGACTACAGCGCCGCCTTGGACCCAGCCTACACCACCCTGGAATTTGAGAATGTACAGGTGTTGGCCATGGGCAATGGTAGGTGGGGGCAGGTGTGCTCAGGTGTACCAGTGGGGGCAGGTGTGCCCAGGTACGGGAGTGGCACTTTGGCCCTTAACTTTGGGGTGGGAGGAGGACGAGAGAAAATGGTAGGCTGGGCCTACAGGTTCACACAGGTGGTGCCGTGGAGAGCGGCCAAAGGCCTTGTGGGAGAGGGAAGGCCGGTAGGGTGAATTTCCAGCCAAAGCAGATCCCAGGTCTTCCTTCCCTGGCTCTTCTGGTCCCTGCTGGCTCCGGGCTGGGGGTCACGGAGCCAGAGACACCATGGTGAGCTGTGTCTTGGCGTGCGGCTCTGGCAGCTCCGCCCAGCGTGGCTCTTTCTTGCCTGCAGTGGGTGTAAGCACAGGGAGCTGGAAAGGTACGGCCTGGTCCCCATAGATGCTGCTTGGAGGCAGAGCTGTACCTCAGGCTGGCTTTGGGGCTTTCCTGAGGGACCTGGGGTTTCAAAAAAAGGTTAGGGGTAGGGTGGGGAGGGGCTATACTAGAGAAGGTGCCGACTCAGCAGTGCGTGTGGTGCAAGCACACATGTCCATGCAGACATGCAAGTGGGCTGTGTGCTGCCTGGGCAGATGTGTGCCCATGCAGATGTACTTGTATGTCTGTGTTCCTTTGCATGTGTGTGGTGTGGGTCATCTCCGGTTGCTCTTGCTCGTTGGGTAAATCTGTGTGTATTCACATCTCCTGGAGGTGTTCATGTCTTGCTTGTGTGTGTGTGTACATGTGTCTGAGGATATATATATACAAGTGTGCTGTGAGAGTGGGTCATTGGCCAAACAGGCTTGTGGATGTGGCTACACGTATGTGGCCCCCTGTTCCTTGGGCCAGCACTTGCCCATGCTCATGATTACGTCACCCTCAGCCGAATGAGATTCGCAGCAGCTATGCATCTGCGTTGTCTCCGAGCTGGTTCTTGACCACCCATGTCTCTGCTCCGCCATGATTGGTGGTGGTTCTGGCCAGGTGTTGCCCGCAGGGCGGTAGGGTAAGGGATGAAGCCAGGAAGCCAGGAGCCCAGGCCAGCCTTCATAGAGGCTGAGGGCAGCCTGCCACCTGCCTGGCTTCCGCAGCTCTGCGCTGCACATTGGCATCAGGAGGAGACCTGGAAAGTTTGTGGTTAGGCCAGCCTGGAAGAGCAGCCAGCCAGCCTGCCAGTCAGCTTCCCTGTGCCCGCCTGCCCCTGCCGGCCATATGTGGTGTCACTTCCTCACTCGGCCTTTGTGTCTTCTGTAAAACAGATCTGATGACCCGAGCCTGCTGGCTGGCTGCTTTTACATGTGCCCCAGGGAACACATGAGGGGTCAAGCGATGGCTGCTATGCTAGGCAGGACAGTGTGTGTCGCCACCCTCCTGGCCCTGGCCAAGGCCTGGGCTGCTCCCTGGGGCTCTGCCATTGCTTCAGAGCCCAGGAAGCCCATGCTCTGAAACCCGGGATCCTCAAAAAAGGGACCCTTACAGCTCTTGGGCTAAAAGATACTGGGCTTGTCAGGCATGGCTCCTTCCCTTTCCCCTCACCGAGCCTCAGTCTCCTTATTTACCGAGAGGGATAAAGGTACGCCTGGTTCCCTGGGCTAGGTCAGCAATGGGCCTGAACAATGAGGATGGCTCCTGGGCCCAGTGAGTCGCCCATGACTCGAGCATCCCTATGGAGAGTGGGGGCCAGTGAAGGTGTCTACCTGGGCAGGTGGCTCACACACTCCAGGGCTGTCCCAGCTCCTAATTCGTCAGCAGCAATGGCAGCCCTTCTCCTTAATCCCCTTGGTGTAATAACACGGGCAAATCTCTTGTCGACACCCAGACGAGGTGACCCACTGACCTCAGTAACACAGCACCTGGCCTGTCTTTCCCAGGAGTGGGGAGCTGCTTCCCCAGCCTCCACCTGGACATCTGGAGACGTGGGGTCAGCTCTCCTCAGGGGCCAGGGCCGGAGAGACAGAGGGAGAAAGGGCACAGATACTGTTCAACAGTTATCCTCATCTGCAAAAATAATTCACTCAGCAGAGGGGCTGCACCCTGGGCACACTCGGGCATCTCAGAGGTGTTCGGCCAGGGACGACAGGAGGGCAACACGGTAGTATCTGGGTGCAGGGCTGGCTGGGCAGTGTCTTCATGTCACCAACACAGATGCACTGCTTATCGCATGCCTACAACTTCTCAGGCAGTGAATCAGGGAGCAGCTCGGGCCCATGACACTCCCGTTTTATAAGTGGGGAAATCAGCGTGTGGGGAAGTCAACTCAATCGGCCAATGCCAGCCAGCGACATGGCCCGGCCAGGACTCCAGCTGGACTTTGGGGCTTATGCTCTCCGGCTCTTTAACTACATGTCCCTTAACAATCCAAGGTGGGAGGCAGGGCTCCAGTGAAATGTGTGTGTGGGGGGTATGTGTGCTCACAAATGTCTGCTGTGTGTATCTTTAGTCCATAGTGGAATCTTTGCTGATCCCAAAGGGAGTTCAGCTGGACCAGTCCCACTGCTTCCTTTTACAGCTGGGAAAACTGAGGCCCAGGTGACCAGTGAGTTGGAGGCTACTTCGGCACAAGGAACCCTTCGTGCCCAATGGAGGTCTCTGTGGTCACCAACCTCGTCCCCCGTCCCACGTGTTTGTGTAGCTGCTGCATTGGCCTCTGGGACAGGAAGTCTTCAAGAGGGGTGTCCAGCGCCTTGCTTGGCTCTCCCCAGTGGGCAGGGATTACTTGTTGTGGTTGCCCTGGGAAGACCTCAGGGTCCCTGGGCAGCCAGTTGAATGCCACCCAGCCAGCCCTGGCCACCCAGGGAGGATGAGGGACTGGGCTTCTCCAGGGAGGAGCGGGGGTGGGGGTGGTGTTTGTCCTTCTGCCCAAGGAGGAACCACGTGTCCCTTGGGAGGCAGCCAGGTATCTGTACCTTTCCACGGAAGCTGGGCTACCAGCTTCCCCCTTGCAGAGAAGCAAAGATGCTGAAGGCTACATCACAGCCAGGCCCAAGTCACAGATGAGGCTCCAAACACCAAGTAATTTGCCCAAGGTCAATGGTGGGACAGGAGCAAGCATTGAACTCTAGTCCAGCTGAGGCCAAAGCCCTGGCCAGATACCTGCTGGGATGGAGATGGTCCCTGATTTCCTGCCCCTCCTGAGGTCTCCACCTTCTCTTCTGCTGCAGACACATCCCCGTCCGAAGGTGCCAACCTCAACGCGCCCAACAGCCTGGGCGTCAGCGCCCTATGTGCCATCTGTGGGGACCGGGCCACAGGCAAGCACTATGGCGCCTCCAGCTGCGATGGCTGCAAGGGCTTCTTCCGAAGAAGTGTGAGAAAGAACCACATGTACTCCTGCAGGTCAGGAGCCCTGATCGGGCCTTGGTTTCTCCTGATGGGAAATGGATGTGTGTGGGCTCGTGTGCCCCCAGGGTCTATCTGTTCTCCAAGTGGCTCCCGAGGCCTCTGCCCTATGCCGCCTTTAAGGCTCCTTGCAAATTCATGTCTCCCAAGAATGCCAAGCAGTGGTCAAACAGGTGCCAACCACCCCGATCAAGTGTGGCTCAGGCCAACTCCTATGCCAGGTCTCTGAGAGCCTGTACTTGTTGTGCCACTTAGCAATGGAGAGCCCCAGGTCTACAAGCAAACCCAGGCTGGGGCTTTCCCTGGGACATGTTGGGAATGAGCCCCATGCCTTTCTGCCTAGCCAGGGGCTCCCCAAAGCCTAGGAACCTCCTTCTTTCAAACATGAGCCCATGTGTGACCATGGCCAGTCACACCCCTCTGCAGTGGCCACTCTTATTATCCCCATTTTATGGGTGAGCATCCTGTGGCCTGGAGGACTAGGAACTTGGCCTAGGGTCACCCAGTTTGAGTGAATGTCAGAGCCAGGGCTACCGCTTTGGGCTCTGCCTATGTGTAACCTATTCCTCCGTGGAGGAAGAGACTTGTATACACCAAGTATGGCCTTGGAGCTCATTCCAGGGCCTGCTATGGGTTCTGGGTGTCTGTGCAGTGCCCTGGTACTCCAAAAGCTAAACTTCCCAACCCAGGTGTCCCAACCTTGGACGGAGTGGGCGCTATGCCACCTGCGGCCTCTCTGAGCCTGCTTCCTCAGGATTAGCAGGACAAGTGGGACTCAGGAGCCGAGCCCCGAGGTCCCTCCAACTCAAGGCGGGTTGGCAGGAGAGCACCCCATCCCGTCTCCCTCGTGCCCCAACCCCAGCCCTGGGAGGTAGGCATAGGCTAGGTGGCAGGGGCCAAGTGAAGGCCAGGGTGCTTGTGCCGGCCTCTGAGGGGATCTGTAGGCTGGTGTCTTCTCCATCCAACCATCCAAAGCCCTCCCCAGATTTAGCCGGCAATGCGTGGTGGACAAAGACAAGAGGAACCAGTGCCGCTACTGCAGGCTCAAGAAGTGCTTCCGGGCTGGCATGAAGAAGGAAGGTGAGCCTTGGCTTTCCCTACCGCCCCGCCGCCCCACCCGCAACCGCGCAGTCATTTACAACGGGAGCCGTGCTTTATGACTTGCTCACAGGTCCCAGAGTGACTGGCTAATGGCTGAGGGGAGGGAGGGCCCAGCGATCTGGCCATAGGGAGCGGCTGGGCTTGGTCTTGAGAAAGATTCAGTGAGATAAGCTCCTCTGCTCTGACTGCTCAGCCTCCTATCCCAGCGGCCACTGTCCCCACCTGCCTACACCCGCCCCGAGGCAGACAGTGGGAGCAGGAGGACGTGGCAAAGGTGTGATGTCACAGGCAGCCCCGTGCCCACCCCGGCCTTCACAGGTGGGACTGGCTAGGGTGGCTCTAGTCCTGGGTGTTTGGCCCCATGTCAGGTGCACCGAGTCCCTTTCATCCTCGTTCTTAGGTCTCAGATGGCCTCCAGAGCTTTTGCATTCTAGAAAACAGGAACAAGACATCAGACTGATTCTACATGGATGAGAAGGAATGATTGGGGCACAGCTTTGGCTAGCTCTCGGCAGGCCCCTGGGCAAATTCAGCTCACTCTCATGACAAGCTGTGGGCTGGCTGGAGCTCTCACCACTTCCTGCTTGGCAAGGAGAAAACTGAGATCCCCAAGGGATGGGCCGCATGCCCTATGCCCCACAGTCACTCACAGGAAGGCCCGGAGTTGGAACCTGAGCTTCTCACTGCCTGCCTGACACTCCAGTGCTGCCCACACTAGGCTCTGAGGACCCTGGGGGCCTTCAGCGTGGTTCCCAGCCCACACACCGAGGCACAGCGCTCTCAGCCTCTTCTGGGTTCCTTTGCACATCTCTCCATTTCCTTCTTACCTCTACTCACGCGCCCCCATGCTAAGATGAACCCACCATTGTGCCATAGCTGCCAAATCTCCAGCTGGTCCTGCACAAAGTAACACAGCCCAGGACCTACCCCCTCCCGCTAACAATGAAGAGGAGGAGGAGGGTAAGCTCAGCTTGGCAGTTCCCCCAAACCCTGCTCTACCTCTGAGCCCTGTTGTCTTTGCACCTTAGACACCTTCACTTTGTAAAGATTTATTTATTTATTTGAAAGAGTGATCAGGAGGAAGAGGGAGAAAGAAAGAGGAATCGTCTGTCTGCCAGTTCACTTCCTACAAATAATCATAACAGCCAGGGATGGGCCAGGCCAAAGCCAGGAGCCTGGAACACCATCTGGTCTCCCATGTGGGTGGCAGGGGCCCAAGCAAGTGACGCCATCTTCCACCTCTTCCCCAAGCATATCAACAAGGAACTGCGTGGGAAGTGAAACAGCCGGGACTTGAACCTGTGCTCTGATATGGGACGCTGGTGTTGTAGGTGGCTGCTTAATATACTGTGCCACAGTGCCAGCCCCCAAGACATTTTACAGTATCTTAGTCTGAGCGCAGGAGTTCTGTTGTTAAGCCAGAGCCTGCCAATACTGATGAAGGAGTGTGCTGCCCAGGCCCCCTCTTCTTCTGTATCTGGTTTCCAATGGAGCTGAGCTTCTCTCACTTGAGTGCAAAACCACTTTTTAGAATGGGAATGTGATATGCGATGACACAGTTGAAGACATGCCAAAGATCAGGAACCCCAGCCTTCTGTGGTTCCTGTAGGGATGATTCAGATGGTGCAGGTGTTCTCCCTGTGTGTTCAGAAACCCCGCAACTGTCTCCTTGGCACCTGCCTGTTTCACTCACTCTCCCCTGGACCAATAGTCTCCAGGTGTCATCCAGAGGGCACGGGGTTTGGAGGAACGGAGTCTCTTGGATTGAACTTTCAGGCCTTATGACAGGCAGGTGGGAGAGGGGTGGGCAGCCCTGTGGCCACCTACCAAAGCTGCTGCCAAGAGCTGCTCCTACAGGGGTCCTGATATAGGTCCAGAGGCACTGTCGTCCACATGACTTCAAAGAAGTTTCTTTCTCATTCTCCCACCTCTGAAAGGAGGAGGTTGCATACAGAAGTTGCCCAGCCCATGGGTCTGGCTGTATAGTCACTGGCCTAGCTGGGCACCCCTGTCCACATTGGCTGCAGCATGTGCATGCTGTCTGCTGGTCCTCTCCTGAGCTGAGGCATGGCCAGTAGGTCCCCAGCACACCGAAGGGCAGTAAGCCCCAGGCCACTGGGCTCTAACTCAACCTGGAGAGGTGCCGAGGGAGGTTGGAGAGTGAGGGTGAGATGGTGAAGGTCAGTGCCTCCTCACCAAGCTGAAATGATGGGAAGTGGAGACACGGGCTGTGCTGGGTTGCTTTGAGGGAGGGCCAAGGAGCAGGGTGTTCTGTGGTCACTGTGGTCAAACCCTGGGAAGTCTGATTGTTCCCAGCTGAGTCCTCCGGTGCCGGCACCCCTCCACTGTCTGCTGGGAGGTTGCCAAAGCCAAGCCCAAGCCTCCATGGGAGCTTTTCTGATCAGGAGAGGAGGCACAAGTGTTCATGTCATTCTCCTGATGGCGTTAGGAGCAGCTGGAGGCTGATACCCCCAAAAGCAGTCCCTTGAAGAGCAGACAGTGGCAGCTGCAAGTGTAGGATTAATGACCAGTGAGTCTGGTCTGTAAGATGCCACTGAATCTCCTCCTGCCCCATTTTACAGAAAGGGAACCTTAGGCCCCAGTGGTGATGTAGTGAGTCAGAAGTGGAGTCACCAACCCCTGGGACTGAACCCGAGTGGTGGGCATGCGAGTTTAGACCACTGAACCTTTCCCTCATCCATAGGGAAGGACCCTAACTCTCAGGCCAGAGGGTAGGAGGGGAGTCCCAGAGAGCAAAAATTTAGGAAACCTGGGATCTATGAGCCCAGCAACGAGCAGAGACCATTGACTTATAACCAGGCAGACTAACACCTGCCTGGCCTCAAACTGGCTATCTAGGCCTAAGATCCAGCAGGTGTTGCAGGAGGCACAAGGTGATGATGGGCTGGTGGGGGCAGGTGGTGTCTGCTGGGTCCCACTTGCTCTCCTGCCAGCCCTTCTCCTCCAACTTCCTCCCCCCGAAATTCTCTGGAAAGACAGGCTCATCTCCCGCCTCTGCCTGGTCAGTTAATGATTCAATAGAAGTTACATTAGGTCCCCGACCCTGCTAATACTGAGCAAACATTTGGAAAACATCATTCCGTGACTGAGCTTGCGCTGGGCACTGATAATGCAGGCCCAGCCTTGACGAGCTCCAGCTGCTGACAGCAGCCCTTTCATTCTGTCCGCCTCTGCTACCCATGCCGGCAAGCCTGGCTGCCAGGAGACAGGGGTGGCTGGAGGAAGTTTCCCACCTGGGGTCCCTGTCCTAGCCCATTCACTACCTGTCGGTGGGAAAGCTGGAGGATTAGCCTGCCTGGAAGAAGAATGGGAGCCTATCTTGCTCCACTCCACCTTGCATTCACTCAACCGAGTCTTAAGGAGCACCTGCTGTGCCCCGGGTTCTGTTCTAGGCATCAAGGCTTCAGCCATGAGCAAAGTGGAGCACGGGTTGACTTTCTGTCACTTTCCATCACATGGGGAGACAGGTAGTAAAGAAATTGGCTATGATTCTGCAGTAAATGCCTTGGATGGGGAAAAAATGAAGATGTCAAGTTAGCCTCCCCACACCCTCTTTTGTGCCATTGACCTGGGCTCCTTGCTCCAGACTGTCCTCCAGACTGCTGCTTCCTGCGCCTGCTCCTAACTGTGCTACTCGCACTCCAGGACAACCCACACAGTGTCCCTGCCTGCACTGGGCTCTCTCCTGGCACCACATCCATACCTATTAGGGCCAGGCCCCTTCCTGTGCCCTCCCTGCCCCCTCACTTGCCTCCACCTCTTCACAGCTGTCCAGAATGAACGTGACCGAATCAGCACTCGGAGGTCCAGCTATGAGGACAGCAGCCTGCCCTCCATCAACGCGCTCCTGCAAGCAGAGGTCCTGTCCCAGCAGGTACTGGGGGCCACCTTCTTCATCTCTCCCTCATGACCAAGGACTCTCCACTTCTGTCCTCCCGTGCTCCCCAGCTAGGCCCTGGGCCTGCACACAGCAGAGAAACAACCCAGCATTGCACCCCATGCTCTGGGGTGACTTCTAGTTATGTGACTGCCACATTCCCAGGGCTTAGCTCTGACACAGGACCTGAGGTCAGCTCATGTCCTTGAGGGCACAGGAGACAAGCTGGGTGGGGTTCAGCCAGCCCCTTGCTGTGTGACCCCAGTCAAGCCCCAGCCCTCATCTGCTCTGGGTGACAGCATCATCAATCAGAGGAAGATGATGGCTTTTGCTGTGCTTGGCCTTGAGGGCCAAGGGAGTCCTGAGGGCTCTAAAGGGCTGGCAGAGGAGGGAGCCCTGTCCTCCCTCCACTCCACCCTGTCTGTATCCTCCCACCTGCCTCTTCGTCTGAGCATCCCGCAAAGCTGGGAGGACCCGCAGTCCAGACCAGGACACCCTCCCAGGAGGTGGGCGTGGAGAGAAAGTGTTGTGGGGTCTGCAGCAGCTCCTGGTCTCCTGCAGATCACCTCCCCTGTCTCTGGGATCAACGGGGACATCCGTGCTAAGAAGATCGCCAGCATCGCAGATGTGTGCGAGTCCATGAAGGAGCAGCTCCTGGTGCTTGTCGAGTGGGCCAAGTACATCCCAGCCTTCTGTGAGCTCCCCCTAGACGACCAGGTGAGGACAGTGTACACAGGGGCAGCCTGTTGCCCACCTGGGCTAGAGCCTTGGACCGGTGTGGACTCACGGGGGCCCGGAACTGTGTAATCGCTTTGCAAATATTGACTTGCTTAAGCCCTCCAGTGACCAGAAGGCAGATCCTGCCATTCTCATCTTGTAGGTGAGCAAACTGGGGCACAGAGAGGTTAAGTAACTTGCTCAAGGGCACACAGCCAGGATCTGAGACAGATGGGATTAGAACCAGACAGGAGAACTCCAAAGTCCAGCCTCCTCACCCCTGCCCTCCACAGCTCTCTAGAGGGCAAGGAGGGTGCAGAGTGCTGGGCAAGGACCGAGGACCAGGAATCAGAAGACCTGAGCTTAAACCTTGGCTCTAAGACTGATTTCCTAGGTGATCCTGGATTAGTTGCTGCCTTTCTCTTGGCCTCAGTTTTCCCATCTGTGAAATGGGAATTATAATGCCTGCCTCAGAGTGCCTTGGGGAGGACTGAAGACAATGTGAGGACAATGCTGTGCCCCACAACAGGGTACCCCCCCAAGGCCGGACCCTAGCTGGCCACCCCGTGTCCAGGCTTCCTCCTAGTGTCCCACAAAATGGCTCAGAACACTCAGTGGGACAGACAGTGTCAGGAGAGGCAGGAGTGAGGGTGAGGAGCTTCTGAGACACACCACTTGTTGCAGCTGCACCTGGACATCTGCGTTGGCCTCTGCAGACATGTTCCGCAGCTGAGGAAGGGGAGCCAGATTGGGCCACCCTCCCCTCTGTGGAGGATGCTGCCTGCACAGCTGCATAGGAGCTGGCTAGGGCTGCTGGGGCTTGGAGCTTTGGAGAAGCTGGGGAGCCCAGCAGCCACTGTGTGTCATGGGAGCTGGGAAGGCCCTGCCTGACTGATCCTGGAGCATTCACTTCTGCCACCCAGTAGGACACTCTGAGCTCACAGCACAGCTGCTCCTCAGTGTCACACAGGGGGCAGGAAAGTGACAGGGCAGCGGTCTTGTGCCAGCTGCCCGTGCCCTCTCCCCTGTAGCCCGTGCTCAGGCCCCCTGCCGCAGGGTCCACATTAATGTTTAATCCCTCCTGTTCCTTCTCAAGGCTCAGCAGGGTGACAGGACACCCCTGAGCCAAGCAATTGCTAACCTCAATTTCCCACCCAAACCTCCCTGGCTGGGGCTCAGAGCATTCTCAAAGGGCAGTGATGGGTGGCCAGTAACACGGAACAATCATTAACTGCCCCCCCCATGCACAACCCCACCGCCACTGACCACCTATTCCTAGAACAGCCACCATGTCAGAGGGGTGAACCTGGGAACCCATTCATGGTGTCTGAGGAGCCCATCTTGCCCAGTGCAGGTACAGCTGTGGAAGATTTGGGAGCCTTTTTCTCCAAACACCCCAAATCTGACAGTGTGTGTCCCAGGGACCAGCTTCCAGGTTTGCCTGCTTTTGGACCAGTTGATCTGTTTTGGGCATTGATCCACTGAGGCCCAGGTGGCAGGCAGGCAGGGTGCCATTAGGTAAGCAGATTGAGAACTAGAAAGACAGGGGTTGTTTATATGAAAGGAAGAGTTCCAGAGAGAGAGGGAGAGACAGACAGAGATCTTCCATTCACTGGTTCACTCCCTAAATGGCTGCTTCAGCTAGAGTTGGGCTAGTCCTATACCAAGAGCAAGGATTTTTTTCCAGGTTTCCCACATGGATTTAGAAGCCAGGGATTTGGGCTGTCCTCTGTTGCTTTCCTAGGCGCATTAGCAAGGAGCTGGATCGGAAGTGGAGCAGCCAAGATTCAAACCAGGGCCCATATGGGATGCCATTGTTGTAGGTGGGGTCACAACACTGGCCCTGTTTGGGAGCTTTCTTTGCCAGAACCTCCCATGCCTCAGATAAGTCCATCTCCCTGGAGAACCTTCTCCCACCTCACCTCAAGCAAGTTCGCCAGCCCTAGTATTCCTTTCCGCATGGCCTCACCTTCCTTCCTTCGTTTCTAGCACTTTTCAGTCCTCTGTCTTATCTGCTTGTTTGCTACTCTGTTCTCTGTCCTCCTTGTGGAAGATGAGTTTTATAAGATTAAACATTTTGTCTGTCTTTTTTATTATTATGGTCCAACTGTCCAAAGGTGAAGCTTTGGAAGTCAGGCATCATGTGAGATGTCATAGCTAAAGGAACGAGTCTTCAAAGGAATGAAGGCATTTGAACCTTCCATCTGCAGGACCTGCAAACCCACTCACCCAGCCTCACAGATGGCGTTCTAGAGCTAGCAGGTTGGCACTACCATGAGCAGCCCAGCCTGTAGTCTCCGTGCAAGCTCTACCCTACCTCTGACGTAGTCTGCCCTACAGCTTGTCCTGCATCTCATCAAGGACCAGGGCTCATGCTGTTGCCTCTGCCAGGGCCAGCCTGGCTCCTCCCCTGAGGTCTGCCAATGGTCTCTCAATTCCCAGCTTCTCACAGAGGTGGGTAGAGGGACATTTCTTTTTTTCTTTTTTTTTTTAAGATTTATTTTATTTTTTATCACAAAATCAGATATACAGAGAGGAGGAGAGACAGAGAGGAAAATCTTCCACTTGCCAGTTCACTCCCCAAGTGACTGCAATGGCCAGTGCTGTGCTGATCTGAAGCCAGGAATTTCTTCTGGGTCTCCCACACGGGTGCAAGGTCCCAAGGCTTTGGGCTGTCCTCGACTACTTTCCCAGGCCACAAGCAGGGAGCTTGATGGGAAGTGGAGCTGCTGGGATTAGAACCGGTGCCCATATGGGATCCCGGTGCATTCACGGCAAGGACTTTAGCCACTAGGCCACGCCATCAGGCCCAAGGGACATTTTTGTAGGCCCATTAGTCCCTGATAGAGAGGCACTCAGAATCCCCCAGAGACCAGGTAGGATGCAGATCCCTTGCCCCACCTGTCACCCCCAGATTCAGAACCTCTGCCACAAGAGCCCAAGAATCTGTTTTCCTAATGTACTCCTCATGTTTCTCCATGATGTTGGTGGGAGGTGGCCAAAGGGTAGGATTTGGGCCTCCAACCTTAGTACCTTTGGTCCCAGGGATGCTTGCAAGGATCTGATGAAACCCTCTGAACTTGTGCCTTTAAGTAAAACACATAGCACCTTGCTTCCAGTTTCACCAGAACTGTGGATGAGGCCCAGCAGGGAGCTGTGACCTGCCCAAGGAGGCAGCAGCTCAAGGGCAGGATCAATGCCAGGCCTCTCAGCTCTGTGTGTATTCTCTTTCCCCTTTCAGGTTTCTGCAGAGTCCTTTCCAGGCCCCTGAGTTTACCAGTTATGGGGCATGCCCCCACCCCTGATCCTGGTGCAGGAGAGGGGAGTTTTATGCTGACTTGCTCCATGTCCTTGCCTGGGCCAGAACAGACACCACACACACTTTCTCTTCATTTCCAGGTGGCCCTGCTCCGAGCCCATGCTGGCGAGCACCTGCTGCTCGGAGCCACCAAGCGATCCATGGTGCTGAAGGATGTCCTGCTCCTGGGTGAGGAGGCAGCCTGGCCTGGCCAGAGCTCCATGGGTGGGCAGGAGAGAAGGGCAGTGCCCAGCATGGCATATCCTCATGGTGGCTGGCAGGGCCAAGGGAGAAAGAAGGAAAATGGCCTTGCTTCAGGGCTTGCCACTGGAGCACTCTGGGACTCAGTTCTCAACAGCATGTGAGGAAATGAGGATTTAGGGAGTAGAATTCCATGGGCATCCCAGGAGTGACACCGACATTCTGGTGTTCTTCCTGGAGTAGGCACCAGGAGGTGGCCATGGATGACACAAACCCAAGCCCATGTACCCCACAATGTATTAAGTGTCTTAAAATATTTGCTTAGCCCCCTCACTATGCTAAGGCCCACACATCATGCTTTACCAACAGTACCTCATTTAATACAGCAGGTCTGGTAGAGAAGTTATCACCATTTTGTAGATGGTAAGGCACAGAGAGGTTAAGTAACTTATCTGTGAGGGACAGAACCATTCAACCAGACCAGTCCAGTTCCGACAGACTGGTCCCTTCATCTTGATGCTTGCCTGCTTCCCACGGCCTTTGTACAGCTCTCACCTTGTGAGCCATGTGGGGACAGCGACCCTGGATGATGTGACTGGAGGCTTGGGGAGCCAAGCTTCAAACTCAGTCTGGTGACTTTGGGGATCCTGGCTTTCTCTTCTCTAAGATGAGGCTGAACGGCTCAGTGCTCCTCTGGAGCACATCTCGAGGAGCAAGGTCAGCCCAAGACCTCTGCTCCATCCCTCTCCCTCCCCACCCACCCAGGCAATGACTACATCGTGCCTCGGCACTGCCCGGAGCTGGCCGAGATGAGCCGTGTGTCCATGCGCATCCTCGATGAGCTGGTGCTGCCCTTCCAGGAGCTGCAGATCGATGACAACGAGTACGCCTGCCTCAAAGCCATCATCTTCTTCGACCCAGGTATGCATCTCCCCTGCCAAGCCCTGCTGGACCTCATCTCGTTGCCATGACAACCCAGAGACAGTCTGCTGTCAGCCCCTGCCTTAGAGGAGGCTAATCAAGGCTCATTGGGCTGCTTTGATGAGCCAGGCCACACCACATCGCACCAAAGGCTTGGACGACTTCTTTCTCTCCTTTTCCATCTTCCTTCTTTGATTTTACTTCTGTTTTTCCAAAATAGTTTTTACGTGTCTTTTAATGCTGGCAACTCTCTTGCCCACTTCACGTTTCTAATTTGAAGCCCACTCCCCATGAGAATCATTTTCTGACCTTCTTCACCGTGTCTCCTGGCAATGACCTTGACCACTCTAAGTAATTGGATGCATCTTCTTATTTCCTGATCCCATTTCTTGACTCATCAGCTTCTGAGGATGTTTTTTTTTTTTCCTGTGAAAGCTGGAGATTTTACCTTTCTCCACCTGCCCCATCTCATCTGTCCCATCCTCCTGCTGTATCCATGTCTAACTTGATTACCTTTGCAACTTTCAGTTATGTACCTTTAAAAGAAATTTGGCATCCCTACATGTGGGCCATGGCCACACATACAGACAGAGAGAGCTTACATCTGCTGGTTCACTCCTCAGATATACACAGTGGCTGAGATGGAGCTGCGGCCAGGGCCAGGAGCACAGAATTCAATTCAGGTCTCCTAGGTGGATGGCAGGGATCCACCCACTTAAACCACTGCCTCCCATGGTCTGTCTTAGCAGGAATGAACTGCCAAAGCTGGGACACAAACCCCAGCACTCACAAGTGAGACCCAGGCATCTCAACTGTCAGGCAAAACACCAGCCACCAGTTGTGTGCTGTGCTGAGTCTTGGCTTGTTCAGCACCCCAGTTAACCCTTTATTAGGCAGGAGGCAAACACTGCAGCCCTGCCCCTCCCTTTCGCTAGTGACCCCCACCCATCTCCTGGCTTTCACTTGTACAGTTCACAGACATGACTATAAAGCCTGATTTCATTTCAAAGTGCATCCCCAAGGTGGCTCGCCTCCTTGCCTGCCCCTCTCAGAGGGCTGAGTATGGCTGTGCACTGACCCTAGGGTTAGAACCCCACGAGCACAGAGGTCATCTCCCAGGACCAGCACAGTGAAGTGGTACTGGATGCCCACTGGTGCACTGGTACCAGCAACACCCAGTGTGGATTATCTCTCAAGGCGGCACCTGCGCAGCAGGAGTTACCTGATCTCCCATTTACAGAAAAGGAAAGGAAGGTATAGGGAGATTATGGCTCAAGATCCCACCCAACCTAAAATTGGCAGAGCTTGGATTTGAACTCCAGACCATCTGTCAATCTCTAGCTATCTAATATTAAGCCTGCGTTCTCATTCCCCATCTCCTGGAAGGTGAGGTTTTTGTCTGGGTCTCATTTCATCCAGAGCCTGGTTGGGACTGTGTTCCCTGCAGGGTACAGCGCTCAGCCTGAGGGCTCAGTAACAGGTGCAGGTGGCTGAGGCTGGCTCAGGTTTGGCAGCCAGGCCTCAAGGTGCTGGAAACCTTCTCCAGGACCTGGCTTACAGAAGGTGCTCAAGGCATGACTTGTTGACTCAGTAAAAGAAGGTGATTCAGTACAGAGAGCTCCAGGAAATAAGGCTGAAATCTCATCCTGACAAGTGTCTCATCTATTAAAGAGGAGGTACATGCATGACTTTTAAGAAGATTGAGATTAGCATATTGGGTGACTTCTTGAACATCAAGGATCCATTCATGAATTTTTGTTGTTGTTGTTGTTGTTGTTGTTGTTCATCTGTTTATTCACCTACCCACTCTTTCATCCAGTTATCTGATCAGTAAATACCAACCACACGTGGCAGCATGAAGTAGAGTTTAAAGCACTAACAGGCTCAAGCCTGTGCATGCAGAGAGCTCAGGGTCTAATGGGAGAGACAGTGGCACTCTGAGGGACATAAGAGGCCCAGACAGAGGAGTGGGGACATGGTGGTGGAGACGGACAGGGCAGACTTTGTGGGGTGGAATAGCAGATTGCCTGGAAGAGGAGTAGCCTGAAGTAGAAGGCAGGAACAGGAAGGCATGAGTTGCTGGCACCGCAGCTGTGGGTCACGAGCCCCAGGTTATCATGAGTGTTGTTTGTTGAAGGATGACTCCTTTGCTGGCCCATGCCTCAAGTTCCCCTATGTGGATGGCGTGGTGGTTGCTAAGCTCCTACTGGGCATATTACCAAAGTCCCAACCTGCATGTCTATGGTCCTCCCCCATGCTCCATGCCTTTTCTGTCACGGTCTAGGAAGTCACGTTTGTTCTTGCACACCCTGATTATGAGGCCTCCGCATCCTACTGCTGCTGAAGATTCCCAAGTGACTTTGGGCCATCAGGCACTCCCTGCAAGTCAGGGAGCTTCAGGGTTCTGACTCTCCAGCTGCTCCAACTGAGCCCTGAAGCCCTGCCCTGCCCTCTCCCCATCCTGTTGCAGACGCCAAGGGGCTGAGCGACCCGGGCAAGATCAAGCGGCTACGGTCACAGGTGCAAGTGAGCCTGGAGGACTACATCAATGACCGCCAGTACGACTCACGCGGCCGCTTCGGTGAGCTGCTGCTGCTGCTGCCCACACTGCAAAGCATCACCTGGCAGATGATTGAGCAGATCCAGTTCATCAAGCTCTTCGGCATGGCCAAGATTGACAACCTGCTGCAGGAGATGCTCCTGGGAGGTCTGTTCTGGCTGGCCCTCAGGCTGGGGATGAGGGGGTGCAGAAGGGGACCCCCACCACCACCAAGAGATCATCCTCCCCTGAGCATGCCTGTCAACTCCATCACTTCCTTACTGTGTGGCCCTGGGGAAGTTGCTAGACCTGCCTGAGCCTTTGTTTCTTCATGAAAACATGGGGACTAGGGTGATGGTCCATTTGTTCAGGCACCAAGCCTCACATGGGCCAATCACTGTTTTAAATGCTGAACATTTAGCCAAGACCACAGTGATTTTGTGGGATAGAGTAGATTGAGGGAGTACAAAGTGGAACAAAGGACCCCCAAGCATGCTATGTCCTCAGGGAGGACCTCAAGAGGCTTGGACCATAGAAGTGGAATGGGACAAATGTACTTGGCTGTCTGTTTAGGGGACGAAGCCTTGGGTTTGCAGATTAAGCAGATGTGGAGAATCAGGGGAAGAAGAACTAAGGGTGAAGAAGATGTGATGGTGGAGTAGTTTACTGAGATGGAGAAGACAGAAAAAGTAGCTTGAGGCTAGGTATGGGACAGGTGATGAGAACTGACCCAAGTGATCACACTGGACATTAGTTATTGGAGAGGTGGCTATTTTGTATCCAGGTTGAGTTATCGAAGAGGCAGTCAAATCTACAGATCAGTTGCTCAAATGTAAGGTGAAAGGCAGCTCTGGCTTTCCAGCCTCCAGGAGTCAGGGAAAGAACGGGTGCTCTGGAAGGCAGTGGAAGAATACAAGCTTGGGTGAGGGGAGGAAGGAAGGCAGCAGGGTAGGCATGAGAAGAGGCATTCCAGAATTCAAGAGCAGGGCATGATTTGTCTTTCAAAATTTATTTTATTTACTTGAAAGGTAGAGTTACAGGTTGAAAGAAACAGAGAGGGGGCGGGTCTTCCATCTGCTGATTCATTCCCCAAATAGCTACAACAGCTGGGGCTGGACTGGTCCAAAGTTAGGGGTCAGGAACTCCATCTGGGTCTCGCACGTGTGTGTGTGTGTGTGTGTGTGTGTGTGTGTGTGTGTGTGTGTGTGTGTGTGTGTGTGTGTGTGTGTGTGTGTGTGTGTGGTGGCGGAAGCAGTTCCAAGCACCTGGGTCATCTCCCACTGTTTTGTTGTGAAGAGGAGCTATGAGGGAGTTAGGATGGCCACAAGGGAGTGGTTATAATGCTAGGTCATGGAATTTCAGCCAGACTAGAAGAGAAGTAACACAGGGGTGATAGGTGGGGAAAACCAGGGGGTCAGTGAGTGGTAGGGATGGACCTCACTTGAGCTAGGAGAACAGGGGGTAAAATTGGAGTGAGGATGCTCAAACTCAAGACTTTGGGGCCAATGTGGTTCCCGCTGATGATGTGACCAAGGCCAGGTGTCTCAGCTCCAGCCCTATTGCTGTTTGAGACTGCACAGTTGCCTTGATTTGAGAGAGGGGCTTTCCTGTGCATCTCTGGTTTATACCCACAAGATGCTAGTAGCATTTCCCCAGGGACCAAAACTGAAAATGTATTCAGATCTTGTCAAATGCTGCCCTAGGGACAAAGTCATCCAGGTTGTGAACCATTGTCATGGGGACAGTCAGATTTATAACAAAAAGGAGATACAGAGAGAAAGATCTTCTGTTCGCTGGTTCATTCCCAGTGAACAGGAGCCAGAAGCTTCTTCCAGATCTCTCATGTGAGTGCAGGGTCCCAAGGCTTTGGGCCATCCTCTACTGCTTCCCCAGGCCACAAGCAGGGAACTGAATGGAAGTGGAGCAACAGAGATACAAACTAGCACCCATATGGGATCCTGGCACATGCAAGGCAAGGACTTTAGCCACTAGTCTACTGCTCTGGGCCCTGGATCGCTCACTTTATCCTCACTTTGTGAATACTGGGTTACAGGGAGTCAGGTGTCAGCGAGACCAGGATTGGGATGACTTGGATAAGATCATCCCCCTGGGCCTGTTAGCTGATCTGTAAAAGAACAGGGTAAATATGGTGTCCATGCTATAGGAAAGTTGTGAGGATTAAATTGTGTAAAACATGAGGTATAAGCATAATGGAAAGTCCCAGGCACAGGTTCAGCACTCGGTTGCATCCCAGAAGCCCCTTACAAGCCCTAAGTCTGTCCTTGTCATACTTAGACCACGACCCACTACCAGACCACACTGTCACTCTCTGATATACTTTTTAAAAGAAATGATCATTCCTAAAAACTGGTTTCAAACAAAGTACATGAGAATTCAAGGAAGAAAAGGTAGAAGCAGGAGAAGCTTCCAAAGGAGCTGGTAATTTGGCTGTGCAGATGCACAGGAGCAGAGGAATTCTCTCTGGTCGAACCAGCAACATGCATGAAAGCATCGAGATAGGAAAGTAGAGGGGACATGTTGATGCTCCCTGTAAGTCAGCTTGGCTGAAGCTGAGTCAGGGTCGGTCGCTGAAGGACTTGCATGGGCAGGAGTTTTGAAAGTCATTGACATAATCCATTTATACTACTATGCAACCAACATGCTACTCTGTAAACCATCTAAATGATCTCTGAACTTCCTTATGTGCTCCTGGTTTCTTTCCAATTGCTTGTTTTCTTGATTTTTTTGGATCCTCCCGATAACCCCTATTGAAAGCCGAGTTGCCTAACACGGGGATGGCTCTGTCAGTGTTGAATGGACAGGCAGATGGGCCACACCCAAGGAATTTGAGGACACAGGGCCTGGAGCTGATCCCATCCTGGACTCCATCCTGACTTCTATTCTTTCTTGCCTGCAGGTTCCTCCAGTGATGCACCCCATGCCCACCACCCCCTGCACCCTCACCTGATGCAGGAACACATGGGCACCAACGTCATCGTTGCCAACACAATGCCCACTCATCTCAGCAATGGACAGATGTGTGAGTGGCCCCGACCCAGGGGGCAGGCAGGTGGGCAATCTAGGTTCTTCCTTGCAGTGGACGAGGATGGGTCCTAAGAGTATGGGCAGGAGAAGGCTGCATCTAGAAGGTAGAAGTGGATGCAGAGTTTTCTGAGCTGCAGTGTAAGGAATGAGGTAGTGGTAGTGATTGCTTGTTGCGGTGGTTTATTCATTGAGCTGACTGACAACCTCTCTATTGAATGAAGCAATCTGCCAAATGAGATTATCCACTGGGTGATGAGAGTCAAGGGGAGAGGATTCATCTAGGTGACATGTCCATCAAAGTAAAGCTGCCCAACTGGGTGAGGACCCAGCATGCAATGGGTAGGGATGCCTGCTGGTAGGAAATCACTGCAGAATGAGTTTGCCAATGGCAAAAATCTGATTCACAATGGGAAGAGGTGGTCCCTGGGATGAGATGGCATTTGACAGAGATTGCCCTTTAGGTGAGTTGTTTGTTGAATGAAGTTGGCCAGTTTGGTCAGAGGGAACTCTCTGAATCTACAGCGGGGATGAGGCCAGTTTTTCTGTTGCTTATCTCCTCAATATCCAAGAAGTGGCATTTTGAAAGCCAGCTAGCCTTGGGTCTCATCATACTAAGTGTCATCTAATCTAATTTTCTCAATTTATAAAAGAAGAAGCTAAGTCTCAGAGCTCATTGACTTTCCGCAGGCTGGAACTTTGAGAATCTCTCTTTGTCCCTCCAGCCACCCCTGAGACACCACAGCCCTCACCGCCAGGTGGCTCGGGCTCTGAGCCATACAAGCTGCTGCCAGGAGCCATCACCACCATCGTCAAGCCCCCCTCAGCCATCCCCCAGCCAACCATCACCAAGCAAGAAGTCATCTAGCAAGCCGCTGGGGGTCGGGGGCTCTGCTGGCTCCCCCCAGCCCCCTCAGAGAGTGCCTGGTGATCCCTCAGTCACAGCGATGGGAGGCGTGGCCACAGGGCCAGGCCCAGAACAGGAAGGGAAAGGGCCAAGAGCCCAAGAATGCGGACAGGGGGCTCTATCCCATCGCCACCCTTTGACAACCTATGCCCTGGATGTTGGGGCTTTGACTTGGGGAAACCCTACCTAGGAAGTTCTCTGCTGCCTTGGACAGTGTTTCCATGGTGAAGCCACTACCTTCACCTTCATCCACATCTCCCCACATTCTTCACCCCCGAAGGACAGCTGTTGGGAGATGCTAGGAGGCCCTGCTCCAACCCTGCTCCCTTTTTCTCTACTGGTTCCCCTTCCTGTCCTACTACAGTCACGGTGGTCATGGAGTCCTTATGCAGAGCCCTGCCAGGCTGCATCAACTTGCATCACCTTGCTCTGCCCCCTTCTACTGCCCCAAATTCAGATGACCTGTCCATCCCCCCCATTGTCACCATCCTGATCCATCTTGTCTTCCCCAAAGCTGCCTCTCTGGGAGCTGAGAAAAACTTGGAACAAATTCCCCAAGTCATCTCAGGAACATTCCATAAGCACTGGCTTCTGGGGCTTGTCTTGTGAAGCAGACATCCCTCCCCTCCTACAGTTGCACTGTACTTCCCTTCCCTGGGGCTATGGTGACTGACTGAAGCCTGGATCACTAAAGGTGTTCTGGAATGAAAGAATTGTTGCAGGCTGACAGCTGCAAGATGACCTCAGAGGGGAAGGGGCTGGGGGTGGGGTGGAAGGGGCAGGGCAGAGAATACTTCAGGCAAGAGGCATTTGAGGAGGGGAGACAGGCTATCCCAAGGGAGAATAGCCTGGGTGAAGGCCTGGGCCCAGAGGTAGAATAACTGGGTGACACAGGCACAATGAGGAGAGCAGGCTCTCTTGAGTCTACAGGGCAAGCCGGGGAGCTTGGGGCCCTGAGTGTCAAATGAAGCCAAGAGTAGTCAGGGGCGTGCAGTGAGCTAGATTTCACAAGGTGAATATGCTAGCACTTTGGTGGTAGAAAGTTGGGAGGAAGCAGGGAGATGAGGAGGGGCCATGATGCAGTGTTAGTGAGAATGCAGCGGACTGCACCTGCAGAGAAAGGGATGGGCGAGCCCTCAGGTAGGGGGCATGCTGGCTCTTGCGGGCTCCCAGGCACTGCCTGAGGCAGTTAGCCAGCTTCATCTCACTGCTCCCTCAACTGTTGTCTAACGATGGTTACAGAAGCAAACCTGAACCCTGAAGAGGTTAGGTGAGCTTAAATATAGGCACGTGTAAGGAGGAGGCCAAGTCAGAACTTGAACTTGGTCTCCCTGAAAGAGAACAGGTGCTCCATCCCCACTGTGATTGAACTAAGGCAGAAATGGGCTTTCCGCCCTCTGCACCAACCTCAGAAACCAAAAGCTCGTTCTCAGCAGGAGCTCTGCCCACACTGGGACCTCAGGCACTAAAACTCACTGGATGAACAGGAAGGAGAATGCATGACTCCTTATCTCTTCCCTGTCTCTTCCCCAAGCCCAAGGAAGAGGCAGAAAAGATCCAGAAAAGACAGACCCACCTGGCCTGGCACCTGTGGACAAGAGTTTGAAGAAGCAACAGGGAAGGAAGGTGAAATGGCCCATCACCACTTAGGGAACAGTCTGGAACCATTCAGTCCCAGGATGGAGCGGTGGCCACTTCACTCATACAGAATCCTGGTAGCTTTGAGGAAGATTCTGGTAATGGTCACTGGCTGGTGGGATGACAGCTGTGTGTCCGGAGGCCAGCGGTGAGGTGAGGTGAGGTGAGGTAGTGGCAACCACCACCCTTCCACCCAAGGTGGCTCTTTCGAGCAGATGGGGCAGCGTGGCAGTGCCCAGCAGTGTCCCCATTTGTCACCACTCCTTTTCATGGAGAAGCACAGAGAAGATCTGCGGTTGAAGATCTGCAGCCCTGCCGGGCCTTCCCTGTGCTGCCAAACCAAGCTCCTCACCCAGGAGGTGCTTTCTGCTCCTTGCTCAGAGTCACAGACCTTCCTCAGCCATTCTAACCTGCTCCAGTGCTCAGACTGGCCCCATTAGGGAGGCTGGGATCCCGCTGTCCATCATGGTCTACTATCTCATGCTAAGCAGAAGACACCACATTGGAAAATCTTTTTTTTTCTACCAGCATAGTGGTCCTAAAACATAAAACCTGTTGGGCTACAAAGGGTTGTTGGGAGAGCAAGTGAAGGCACATGAATCCCTTCATCAAGACAGCCCTTTCTTCAGGAGCTCCCAGAATCTTCTAGAACTCACATGGCTTCTCCTGTGTGCACTCTCAGGGCCATTGGAAATGAGTGCTCCTCAATTTCTTGGGATGACCCAAGCCACTTTTCTTTGTCCACCCTGATTAGGAATGAATTACAAAATCCACATCAAGCAATTCTGGAAGTGCACTGGGTGGCACCAGGCCAACCCACCCTTCCCCAGAGACATCAACATCCTCTGGTCCTGTGCCACCCATCACCCCCACCCTGAGTCCCGTCACTGCCACCCAGTGGGGCAAAGAAGCAAAAAAGCATTTCTTACTCATACGTGTTTTAACAAAGTTTGTAAAACAAAATAAATGGCAGATATGTTTTCTAAGTCCTTGGTTGGCTGTGTATTCTTCCTCGTAGGTGTTGGCTCTGGGAAAGAGGATGGTCTGTGGTTCTCTGGGTGGGTAAAACACTTTCAGAGCCATTAGCAGCTTTTAGTCTCTTCATCAGACATGGCAGGTGTTATCAGGATTTTCCTCTTATCTCTCCCTTTATTGATAATAAGGAAACAGGCTCAATACTTCCTAGGAGCTGAAGCCAAGCAGTGAATATAAAGGATCTCAAAAAGCTCATGGGCAATGAAAAATAAACCTATGCGTGGGTTCTGAGAAACACACACACACACACACATCTTTCAGTTCCACTTTACATGATCCTTTTGAGTCATCTTGGAAGGTGTGGAGAAATTCGATCCTCCCAAAGAGAGGAGGAGTGAGGGAGAGGGTGATGGAAAGATCTAGAATGGCAAGATTTGGTGACAGGGATGAGGGCAGAGCAGGGGACCCTTTCAGCTCCCACAGAGGGGACAAGAGTTCTGGTCTTGGAGCCACAAGTCTTGGGGACCAGTGTAGCACTGGTCAGGTGATGCTACCTCTTAAAATGCACCTGCAAAGCAGAAAGGATGCCTCCCTGGAGGGAAGTTGTCAGGACTCAAGTTGTCAGGACAACAGTGACCACGAGAGCTGCCATGCTACACTGTGTAAGAAGCTCATCACGTTGCCCTTTCCTGAAGAGGTGCCAACCACCAAGCTCTCCAGCCTCAGGAGCCTCACTTAGCTGTCTGCCAAGGGCCTGGGGTCCCTGTTGCCTTTCCCTGTCTTTCCCTTCCCCTCGTTAGCACTAGAAAATGGTTTCTGTGATGTTGCAATGGAGGCCCTGTCCATGGCACTGCGAGCATGGACATTGGGGGATGGTGGGGGAAAGGAAGCTATTTCAATCTTACGTTGTGCTTAATAAATCCATATCAAAACCATAAACCCTGGGCTGCCATAAAGGTCTTTGACCTTGGCTCCTCCACCTCATCAGCCCTTTGCTCTAGTTAATCTCAAATCTCAGCCTGAGTGGCCAGAGCTCCACATTTGGTTTCCATTCCAGTTGCTAAGCAACAAAGATGACAAACAGCAAAATCCCCATTATAGAGATGATGAAACCAAGGTTTAGAAAGGTGAAAAAACTTGCCCAAACCTACACAGCTTAGTGAGTGTTGGGCCAGGATGAAAGCCCAAGCTGCTGCTACCTACCCATGCATACTGAATTAATAAATGGGACTTTTGGGGATAGCATTGTGGTGTAGCAAGTTAAGCCATTTTCTGCAGTGCTAGCCTCCTGTATCGGAGCACCGGTTCAAGTGCCAGCTGCTCTGCTTCTGTTCTAGCTCCTCACTAATGTGCCTGGGAAAGCAGTGGAAGATGGCCAAGGGCTTGCACCCCTGCCCCCCATATGGAGACTTAGATGGAGTTCCTGGCTCCTAGCTTTAGTCTGGACCAGCCTTGGACATCGTTGTGTTGATTTGGGAAGTGAACCAGCAGATGGAAGATTCTCTCTCTCCTTATCTCCATCACTCTGCCTTTCAAATAAATTAAAATAATAACTGGGACTTCCAAGCAAGCACCTTATTTTAGTCCCTCTGCAAATGTGTCACCCAACTCACAGCTCCTCAGGTCATCAGAGTTGGGACTTGAAGCAGACAGGACTTGGGGTTTACAGGATAAAGACCCAAAGAAAGTTCCGCTTGGCATGAACAGCCTCTCCCCCAGATTGGTGAGACCGCCCTACTTCTTCCTTTACAGAATCCACTCACCTTTGATTGAAGCTTTCCAAATCGGTACATCAGGTGTTAAATTCCAGCATGCGACCTTACATCTGCTGGATGATGGTGGAGTTAAAAGCCAAACTACAACACCAAAGATGGCATTTATGATGCTCTTCCTCTTCGCCAAACCTTGCTGGACAGGATATCATTCTTGTTCCATTTCACCATCAAGGAAACCTGCTTTGAAGCAGGAAGCAGCTTCTGGGAGGTCCTAGCTGGTGTGCCAGCTGCTCCAAGGCCCATCGACCTCTCCTGGTACCACCACAAGGCACTGAGAGGATCCTGCTGACTCAGCTGTTGCATGGTGGACCCAAGGGTGAAGAGTGGAATGTTCATTGATGCATACCCTGACCAAAGCCCCCGGCAGAGGCACCCTGGGATTACCAAGCAGCAGCATCCAAGGGTGCTTCTCCCCCTGGAGCTCATGGTACAAAGCTCCTGGGAAAAGTCACAGCATCTTAAGAGCCAGGGAGTGAGTGACAGCCGGTGAGCTAACAGGGATGGAGAGGGTGCTGAGGTCGGAAAAGGAAGTGGCATAAACTCAGAGGGAGGTTGGCCAGAGGCAAGAGGTGGCCAGGTTAGGGCGCTACACCCCACACCTTAGCACCTGTGTTCAAGTGCTACTTCCTTCTCCTGCCTCCTGCTACTGTGTGCCCAGGGAGGCAGCAGGTAATGGTTAAAGTACTTGGGTCCCTGTCATTCCCATGGAAGACTT